TTCATACATGATCAAAGAACTGAGAAGGTCATACTACCTTTGGAAAACCGACTAAATGATAACCCGACATTTATATCGACAGTTATTTACCGAGCATTGAAGGAGTGTTCATCACTGCATCAAGGGACTGAAGCATTTTAGATTTTTTTGGTGTGTGATTTAGAAGTCTCCCATTGTTTGGAGAAAGCAACCATGGTTTGCAACAGCCACACCAAATTTTTCCCCTCTCTGTTACAAAATGGTTTCACAGGGCAGTGTGTGATGGCAGTCACTTGACACTGATGAAATGGGGAAGGTGCTGTCCCCCAGCCCTGCGCTCTGTCACAAAGTGCATCTCTCATCATCATCACCTCAAAACTGATTCAGCACCAACTATTTAGGTTAATGTTAGCATGTCTAATGTTAGCATTCTTCTGGAGCCTGGTCCACTCGGACTGGACAAAAGTAAGACATGATTACATAAGCATTTGTGCAGGTAGTTCTCAGGATGCGAAAGGCACTAACCACTTACAGGAGGGAGTGATGAGTGCCAGAAAGTTCACACGGAGTCAGAACAGTGAAGCAGCGGCTTCAAAGTGAATATTAAACCCTGTGTTCATAATCTATACAAACTATTACCATTAATAAAGTAAATGCCAGCACAGAACAATCTTTGACTACTTTGCCTAATCCAGTAAAACTCTCCACAAGAAGCTTGGCCCTTAAAATAAATACAAAGCATAGAGTAAATTGCCATGCAGATTAATTACATTTCCTGCATATTGACTGTAACAAGAGATTTAGCTGATCTTACTGCTAACAGCTCTCTATTGTATCCTCATCATTAGTGCAAACTTTGCATCTAATGTTGCTCCTCTGTACTCTTCTCCTAAGCTGCCTGCAATTAACAGATCAACAAACTGGTTTGGGCTTGGCAAATGAGTGAGTCTCACATTAGTGTTACCTTGCGGCTTCATTTTGCTTAAATCTAGTGAATTTTTTTGTTTGGCTGTTTTTTGGAGTTTTTTTTTTTTTAAATAAGGATTGTTGATTACAAAACATTTTGTTCACAGTGTAACAGGTTTAGCAAAATTTCTGGAGTTGTAGAAGGGGCTCTACCTGGATTGCTGCGGCACGAAAGATCCTGAAAGCTCCATGTTCTCAGCTAAAGCAGCCCCTTGTATTGCAGGACTCCCAGGGTTTGCAACTGATCCCATGACTAGGTGGAACAACCCTGAGGCTGTGGTACAAGAGATCCCTGGCTCCCAGATGTCTGCTGTGAAACCCCAAATCACTAACATGGTTTGGGTTTCAACACTCTTCCTTGTAGTACAGCCGGGACTGAAGAGTCACAGACGCCACTGCTGCAGACTTAGGACACAGAACTAGGAAACTCTGGAATAAGAATGCAGGGAAAGTGTTTCTAATGAGGTCAATGACAGTGAAGCTGTCCCAGGGATTCAGAGCAGTCAGTACACCTCAGACATATCTAAGAACTCATTGCTCATTCATCAATAGTCAAGACACACTACCTGCCATTGAAGGCTTCTAATATCTTTTACTGTGGCAGAAGGAAAGCAAGTAGTAACCTATTCCGACCACTTTAGGGTTGGATGTGTTTGTGGTAAGATGGGAGCAGCCTTGAAGAGTTAACTCGACATTTAAAACAGCAACAAATGATTGCAGAGTCACGGAACAAAGTGTCCACAGTCGTATGTGAAAATAGCTGCGGCTCAACACAAAACACGCTCCGAGAATGAGATGATCAATCAAGAATCTTTAGAGGCAAATCTACTTAAGAGTTCTTGTAGCCCAAATCCTCTCTTTTCGAGCAGCGTCAGACAGTAAATACGTTTGTAAATCAGACTATAGGTCTGTAAAAATCCGCAGTGCTTTAAATATATTTTAGTTACGGGTCCCAGTTTAACGGCTTCTTTAATAGCATACTTAAAAAACACACACACACAAAAAAAAAACAAAAATCATCCCTAAAACCCAGATGCTTATCCCTCCAAAAGTCGTAAGTTTACCATAGTGGAAAAATCCACGAATAGGAGCATTACCTTTGAGAGAGCAGTGGTGCTGCTCGTGTAAGAATAGCAGTTAAGTTTCCCTGTAGGTGCTAGACTGTGCAGTAGCTTCAGGAATGTAGCAATACAGCTGGTTATCAAAACCAATTCTCTCTGAAAAACACAAAAATACAGATGAAGAAAGTGTTCCTTATTTGTTTTGTTACAAAGCAGCTCTGTTTTGAGGAGAAATAGGATTACATTGCATGCAAGCCTCTTTCCATTCCTCCTTGAACAGCAGCTTCATCAACTGTGCTGATGCCTCAAGCCAGCTGAATGGTCGCAGGGGAGCTAATTCATCTCAGTGGTCAGGGAACCACTGGAAAACATACCTGTGTCTGTGCAGAACTGGCACGTTGGCAGCCCTTCTTCGTTCAAGGCCAGGCTGGATGAGGCTTTGAGCAGCCTGGTGTCGTGGAGAGTGTCCCTGCCCATGGCAGGGGGGTTGGAACGAGATGATCTTTCAGGTCCCTTCCAACCCAAACCATTCTGGAATTACGTATAAGGTAAAAGTGGTATTTGGTTGACAGCACCTGCAAAGCAGTGAGGCACAAACTCTTGTCCTTTTGCATACCTATATGGATTTCCTTTTATTATTTGGAACTGGGAACTAGGAGAGTCAAACAAAATGCTGAGTGATAAAAGGAGTGACATTTTACTGTCTGCTATTGTTCAGCAACATCATTCTTCTTAGCATAATTTGCACCTTATTTTACCCCACACTATTGCTCTGTAAGTCCATAACAGAACATTTTACATTTCAGCACTAAAGAAATCATTTTCCTCTCAGTTTTGTGAACCATATACTCCACAGGAACTATCTTTCTGGGCAATTTGTTGTATGTTTGCTGAATCCAAGACATAACAGCACTGACTGAATGCTTGTCTCAGTTGTCATATGAGCAAGTCGCTCTATAAGAAATGCTGCCTGTGCAGGGCATATTAGGGCCCACCTACTGGGCTGAGATTCTTGGAAGGGCTGTAAAATTCTGAGGGCAGGAGTTACAGCTCAGACCTCAGCACGTGCCTGACTTCAGGGAAACTTACAGTCATGGCAGAAGGACACCACCAGAAGGTCATTTCATTTTTTTCTTAAACAAAAACGTTAGCAGTGTAGGTAGGTTTCAACTCCCAAGTGAGAACTTATTGTAGAGGGTACAAAACCAGGAATAGTCAGGGCAGCCTTAATGACAGTGAAAAAGTTTAAACATAAAAAATAAAATAAGAATGCAGAAAAGATTGCAGTCATATTGGCCAACTGGTGTGTGAAAATATAGTCCGGTTTCTGAAATTTTAAATGATCGGCACCACTTAGCTCCAGCAGAGAAACTCTTAAGGATGATTTTTATTCAGTGATAGTATTTTGTGTAATAGCTGCCACTTATATTCCTCAGGCACGCAAATTTTGAGTGCCTAGGTATACACTAGCTCAGTCTCTGACCTTCTGTGACTATTATACTGCTCCTTCCTCAGGCAAATTGCTCAAGTCAAACTATTAAGGAGACTTTTAAAGAGATAAGTCGTATAGTACACACACACAGGTACACGATCTTCTTTCAAATGCTTTATTAAAAATGCTTCTAGGGTGGCCTGTAACAAAACTATACCTATGTAGAGTTAAAAAAAAAAAATCAAGACAAAATGGTATCTAGTACAATGCATTAATATGTTTTCTGTCATTCCAAAAGTCTGGTCAGTGCCTAGACGTGAATGGTTAAACTTGCTGTCTATGTATGCTGCAGGCTATTACGTTTGAGATATTACTCTACATAAACGTGGAACTTGATTCAAGTCTTCGTTTGAAAAAAACTTCATATATATCTTGAAATTCTTTTTGTGGCTACAATAGAGTGTAGGAAAAATAAGCATTATCTCTAACATTTACACAAGGACAAACAGCACAGACTTTTACAAAATAATAAAAAAAAATACAGTACAGGGACTTTTTACAATATCTGTAGTTGGTGCTTTGGAAGATCCAGCCTTTGGAATTGAAACTCAGAGACAGCTAAACTTTCTAGCTCCCCTTTCTTCTTCCCTCCTCCCCTCTCCCCCCAGTATTCAAATTCTTTACTCAGTAGAAGTGATTCATGTACAACATTAAGACAGAAAAAAATGTGTTTTCTTCTTAGAAAACACATGTATTAAATACATATATATATATTCAGGACAGATCCTGTTTTCCTTATGTGAATAGATCTGCATGTGTAAGGCAAAAAAAAAAACTGACCCTGTAATTAGAATTGAAAACATTAAGATCCACCTGCACCAGCAGAAGACAATTCCCTTATATATTGTTCTGCTTCCCTTCAGTTTTGAAATGACTGTTGTGTCCATGATGATGCCAGCTTACTTCACAGCCGTATCGCTCTTGGGGTTGAAAGGGATCAAAATTTAGACAGTGTATGCACTAGTACTAGAGGAAACCAAAGACAGCACTCACCATTCAAGTGTTGGTTGTTACTCACTATACAGGAGTTTTTACTTGGATCCTTCAGTGTCTCAGAATAGCTGTGGCCAAATACGAACTTGCCAAGCATGTCTACTCCAGGCAGCCGTATCGGCAAGAGAGGATATTTAAAGGTATAACCACATTCCTACTAGCACTTTAAAAAGCAGAGCAATACGGGTACCATGCCAGACAAAGCTTCACACCTAAGGCAAACAGTAACTTCTCAAGGCTGTCTCTATAGGACCACGGCTGGCAGCAGTACAAGCGGTGTCTCAGGAGAACTCCTCTACTCTCGCTGTGATAATCCCTGATTTTTTATGTGGAGCTGCCGAATGTGGAGTGTTTGTGATTTGAATAAGTATAATGAGCAACAAGTTTGTGGCTGTCAGAAGGTAGGATGCAGTGTGGGTCCCAGAGACAACAGGCTAACGCTAATCATCTGCCCACAGATCATTTTCTCTCATAAATAGCTACACTTTCCGTGTCCTAGAATCCTTCATTTAAACCTCTGTTCCTTCCCTGGAGTACAGAGTGTTATTTGTGCTGATACTGCTGTAAAAATGGCTGTTAAACTGGTTGAGCACAGAGTTGCTGTAGCCAAGGTGGCTAGAAGGCATCGAATTGGACCACTCTCCCACAGCATGACTGGGGATATTAGAGAGTGGAGAGTAGGAATTAAAGCCTACCATATTCTGTCCCATTTTGTCAATGGGTTCAGAGTTGAGTCCTACAGGCACCGAGCGGCTCACTGAGTTTGAGCCATTAACATACGCAGTCATACTGGAGAGGAAGTTACTGAGACATGGGCTACTGGAAGATGGAGGTGGAGAGCCTTTCTCAGGTGAATTGTCAGTCCCAGGTGATGAGTTTTCCAAGATATCCTGATGCTCTACAGCTTTGGGGCTGCCGGTCAGGGCACTATCCTCTGATTTCTCAGATGCGAGAGTAGCAGCACTAGCCCCAATGTCAGACTTCCTTTTCCTCTTCCTGCGAAAGTTTCCGTTGTCAAACATCTTTTCACAGTTTGGGTCCAGAGTCCAGTAATTGCCTTTTCCTGTCAAAGGGGACAAAAGCACATTTTTAGTTTACAAATATGCAACACAGACAGAAAGAGCAGTCATCCAGGGCTTTACAATGTTACTCTCATTTCACAGAAACAGAATGATTGCATATGCAAAATACATATATGCGTTTTTAACACAAAAGCAGGAGGCTGGAATTCAGAAGCAAGTGCAGTTTTGGGCTTTAACCTTTAGACCTGACTCTTCACATAGGAAAAACTACAACTGGAGCCACTGGAAGGGCTTTCTGTTTTGTTTTCTTGGTGAGGGAAGGAGGTTTTCAGTATATAGCTGGTCTTGTGAATTTGCAGCAGAGTAATCCAATTCCATGCTGGACTGCTCCTCCAGATGCAGTGGGGTAGGATAGGTTTTGAACAAGATAGAACCAGATTTTTGGCCCTCTGTGGCAACATAATTGAATGTTTTTTAAACATTCCCAATGGTTCTTAACAGCTATTGATAGAAAACAATAAATAAAGGAACAATCTGACAGCATACCAGCCACGGGTTGGAAACAGCAGAGGTGTGATTCCAAGCAAAATGCTATTTGAAACAAACAAAATAAAAGCAGCTTGCTCTCCTCTTGAGAATTACTGTTGACTCCCTAAAGCTACTGGGTTTCTCTGACAAATCCGAGATTGCTTTATCCCCTTTCTATTAATTCCCAGTTAAGTCTGGTATAAGTCATATGCATTCAATGGGTTCTGAATGCGACTTGCTGAGCAGACCGCTCCTGTGCTTGCTGAGCCTCATGCTCAGCACAGTGACCAGTGCTCAGGAGGACCTAGAGCAGGAACGAATCCCCTTCCCTGCAGAGATTTAACAGCAACACCGATTCACACCTCAACTATGCAGAGTTGCCTTCCAATTCAGACCTATGAAAACAGGAGCTGCTGTGTGTATGTTCTATAGCCAGGCTATTATGTCTCTTTAGGCATTAGGCATTTTTAAATTAAACAAGTTTAATTAGAAGGGGGAGAAAATAAGGGCAGAGAGCTATACCTGGATCATCTTCGTCTCGGGGCACCTTCTTGAAGCAGTCGTTGAGAGACAAGTTGTGCCTTATGGAGTTCTGCCAGCCAGCTTTGCTTTTGTTATAAAATGGGAAGTTGTCAGCCACATATTGGTAGATCTGACTGAGAGTCAGCCTCTTCTCAGGTGCTCCATGGATAGCCATGGCAATAAGTGCAGAGTAGGAGTACGGTGGTCTAACCAACTTCATAAGCTCTTCTTGGGACGGCAGAGGAAGCCAGCCAAGGTCAGTGCCTCCCAAGCCATGCATGTTAGGCAAGAGCTGCCTTTGCATCCCGTAAGACTGAGGAATGAAGGGACTGGCATTGGATCCTGGGAGATATGGTGGTGGGGTAATGGAAGGTCCATTTAGCCAGAGGTAAGGATTGGGAGTGGCGTTGTAATCCGTCGTCTCAAAGGTGCTCGGTCGCTGTGGACTAGGGATGTTCTGTGGATGGAAAAAGTTCTCATAGTAGATACTCATCTCTGGAGGTTCTTGACCAATATTTGGAAATTGTGGGCTGCAGCGTGGTGGAGAGTGCGTTTGTGGATCAAAGGAGCTCATGCTCCAACACAGGCAGCTGATAAGTTATGACACACCTGTGCTAGTGCTCCTTTCCTGAGACAGGTGCATCACCTGTGCCCTTCCCTACGTACTTATGCACCTGTAAATGTTTCAGCTTGTGCTGCAGGCTCCACCCCACAGCCCTGAGTGGCTGCAGATGAGGACGATATCCTTTTTGGAATGCTGGCAGTCCCAGCCAGTCACTGATGTCACATCAACCCAACCTGGAAGTTACAACTGTTTATCTTCTTAAATGAATGAAGGAATTTTCCACTAATGCGATGCACACAAAGAAAGCCTAAAGTGCCTTGAAGTTAAAACCCCTCATCAGAGATCCTCCTCCTTCCACCTTTCACAATGAAGCTTTACCATTTAGTATTTCTTTCTTTTTAAAGAAAAGCCATATTGTGCTCTGCTGCTAGTAACACTTCAGAATGCAAAAGCCATTGTCACTCGTCAATGAAACAGCAGGCATATATATACTCTTAAAAAAAAAAGAAAAAAAAAGAGAAGGTCAGACTTCCTTTTCTTTCTGTAATTTTAATTGCAGTGCTGCTGGTACTTCCCCCTAGGCAATCACAGTACTACAGGCAAATTCTGTAGCTGGTTACTCACGTGAGCAGTCTTACTGATACAAATGGAATTACTCCCTAAAGTAAGGATTAATCTTGTAAGAAAAAAAATTCAAGCTTAATCATCAAACCTTTCTTTAAAGCTTAAATTGGTGAACTGAAATGAGAAATCACTATTTGCTGCTTCCTCTTGGCTGCAGGATTGATGCCGAGAGCTCATAAAACCTCTTAGCAGAATTTCCAAACAGGAAAGAGGCAGTGTTCAGCACAGCCCTTTTCAGCTAATTTCCGGTAACTTCATTTGTATCTGTACAGACAAAAGTTGATTCCTTAATTTTAAGTAACAAAAAAAACCCTTTAGCCCTTTATGACATGGAGAAACACTTACTGCCTTGCATGGCACCCTGCACTTCTGAAGGAGGAAAAAGGAGAGCTGCAGTCGCACCAGCACCTGGCTCAGAACAAGGACAGCTCTTACGGCTGCGTCACTGCATGAAAGAATGCACTGTAGTTAAAAGCACAGTTACAGTTCCCTTCAGAAGGGATAGATGCATATTTTTTTTAATCTTTAAGGCACATACATACATTTGGAACTTGACTCAGCCTTAATAACCCATGCAATTAAAGTCCTACTATGACAAGGTCTTTAAGATGGCTCTAGGCCTATAATTTCTGCAGAAACACGACTTTTGACCTGTAGAGTTGAATTCCTGGCTGTACCCAAGACTTTTTTGTTATGTCACTCATTCATCATTCACTTGATCTTTTGTGCTGCAGCAGCACTAACATTTCCCCTCTCCCTAAGCATCAGTGATTCACCAATACCATGTTCCTATTGTTGTTTCTTTGAAGGAGATGAAAAAAGTTTCACTGGACATACAACTGAAATATTGAGCACAGAGTGACAAAGCTAGCGAATGTGCCGGCTCAGAATTGTGTCTCTACGGCTGTTATTTAAAAAAATACACACTTTCACTGCACATAAAATAATTGGTACTACAACTATGGACAAACAAGTTGCTATTTGAGGTTGAGTGACAGAGTTCAGAGTTTGTAAAATGCTGACTAGTCTAGGCAGAGATACACATTAAACAGACAAAAGTTGAGTGGAACATAGTGGGGCTTGCTCATCTTCTGACAACTGCTGTGCTAAAAGTGACTTGGACAAAAAAAACAGATGATTCATTTTTCAGGAAATAATGTCAGTACAACCCTCCTCATGAAACTTATCTGAAATAATTTTTTTCTCAGTTAAGAATCTGAGTTACAAACATGCAAAAAGCTGTTTGAGCAACATTGCCTAATTAACTTACTAACATACAGATATATTTTTAAAGTATATCCATAGTTCTGCAAATATTAATGTTACAAATACTAATAAAAACCCCATTATTTACAGATGAGTCAATGGAAAAAACATTTAAGAAATCCTCAAATAAATAAAACCAGGATTCGCTTTTAGAATGAACTAAGACTCAGAATATATGCAGAAAACAAACTTTTGAAATCTCTGAACAGATTACATTTTTCCAAACCAACCTGTTGAAAATAAGAAAAACTTGCAAATTAATGACTGCTCAGGGTTCATTTATTCCAAGAAGTAAAAATTCACCTAACTGCATCATGGGCTTTGATGAGTGGCATCTAAATCTTATTCCCTGAGGTCTCTGCATGGATAGACACAGTTAAAATACACTGAAGTGTGTGCTGAGTGAATACATGCTTTGAAAATATGCCAGGCTTTTTTAGGGGAAACAAAAATTTACTTCTGCAACCAGAGACTGATGAAGTTTGTAAAACTTCCTTCACAAATTAATCGTTATGAAGTGTCGGTGCAGTGCGTTTTAGCAAGGTCAGCCCTTAGCTGTGCTCTGCAGCTCTCGGAGAATGCATGTTACTCCCAGACCTACCTTGATGTGACATCTGAGCAAAGTGTCGCACAGAACTGAGTAACCCAAGGACTGAGGTGAAGACTGGCAGGCACAGCCTTTAGAGCAATGAAGTGCAAAGACACGTGTAGGCTTCTGTCTTCAGAGCTCTGAAAGAGTGCAAAGGTCCGATCCCTCCCTGGCATGTGTGTGCTGGCACAGCTTCTAGCGTAGGCACAATTCGATCATCAACATTTTTCTTCCAACTGACCGTGCCCGATTTACTCGAATCAGAGCATAAACAATGCCAGTAAAAGTGGTACTTTGTCAGTACCACGGGCACACCTTACTGCCTACGAATGACTGCAATACATGTTCCTGTACAGCACTTCTGCTGCAGATGGCCACATGCAGGCAAAAGGCAGCAAGGAAAGAATAAACTTTGCTCAAGCTGTGATTGCTGAGCAGGGCTGGTCAGAACTGGAGTTAATTGAGTTTAGCCAGGAACACTGCCCTGGGGTCCTCACCACCGAGACTCCTGTTCTTGGGAGGGCTGGAAGGAGAAGGTAGCAACCCCAGAAGCGGAGAAAGGAGAAAAGCGGTGAGGCTTCTGTATAAAGAGGCTGGGAAAAAATGATATGCTGACCAAGCTATGCTAACAGATCATGTTTAGGGCTGAAAAACTCTAGAAATAAAATGGAGGCTGATGTTGGAGTCATCAGTTCAGTGGTCACTACTTCCAAAGATCATAAAAGATTGGGTTTGGTGAGGTCTTTGTAGACAGGATGCATCATCTTTTTAACATTTCTTTTTACTACAGTACTGTACAGCCCTGTGTGCACACCTCTACCAGTCGGAAGCCTGATCAACCACAGATTGCTGTCAAACCAAAAACTGTTGTCAACTATTGTGTTATTGAAGATTTGCTCCTCCCTGTTTCTTAAGCAAAGCTCCAAAATCTGCAAGGTTGAGGCCGAGCCCTGCAGAACCAGCATTCTCCATAGGTCAGCTCCTATGTATCCCTCTACTCCAGTCAACAGTAATATTTCTTCACAATGATTGCCCTTTTACAAGGGAAACCAAAATTGTCTGAAATCTTGGGTTATGAAAAGTTCAAACTGATTTCATTAAAATGGAGACTCTTCAGCATTTTCAGTTAAACTCCAAAGTAACCCACACACATTCAGTGGTTTTGAAATGCAGTGACTTGGGAGAAGTGCGTATACACCAGCACTTAGTGGGAAGCAAAACCACGGGGTCAAAAGGTAGAAAATAATACGGGGAACTCTCTATATCCTTTTGTGATGTTTTGGCTGAGATACTCCTAACTACCTTCTTAACTGCATCTTTTGAAACGATAAAGCAAAATGCAGCATGATACCTGCTAGTCTCATAAGCACTTCTAGGTCATTGTGCTATTTCACAGTGTGACAGTTCCAGAGAGCTTAGATCAAAAGCACCCTGCCTGCATGATGCAAAGTACTACAGAGTGCAAACCCACTCTAACGACTGAAACAGGTTCAAACTTTGTAGTAGCAACTTCATCTTGGCAAACTTCACAGCATACTGGATATCACTTGTCCCTCACACAGGCAGCAACATAGAGCACTCATGTACTTTAGCTAATCAGTCAGAAATTAAATTGATTGTTTACTCTTGATACAGATAATGATGTATATTGCCAGATAATCCCATGGTCCAGAGATCTGTCTGGAATTAATATGAAGCTTTAAGCTGTACTGTCAACATTGTGTATAACCCCAGGCCTCGTGTGTTATCACAGTTTAACACCTTGCTGAAGCAAAGTTCATACAAAATATTCCTGTGGTCAGAAAGAAGAGGGAAAAACTGTTTCTGAAAGAAAAGAGTTCACCTACAGCTCAGTATACCACCAAGCGACCCACCGTGTTTCAAACAATTCACACACTGAATTCAGAAACAATTCAGTATCCATTGATATGACATTTTCACACAATAGCAAATTGTCTATATTCCTGGTTGTCTAGTAGGTTACTTGTAGAAGCCTTCACATCTTATTCCACTTATCATCTGCCCAATATATGCACGAAATAAACCACACCATTAGAAGAAAGAAGGTGTAGCAGGGCAGACAATGTCATTTCAAGGTCATTACAAAAGCACAGGAAACAAAATAGAGTATTGCAAAACAAGGGAACTGAGCTTCATTTCTAGAAATGCAGGTTGAAGACGAAATTAATAGAAAAGGCAATATCATTTGGATCTGTGCCATACATGCTGCAATGCTGAAGCGCCCTTAGACTTTTTAAGTCTTTCAGAACAAAACCACTGTGGATTTTTAAAGCAACTTTATATCTGGGGTTTTAGAAGACTGTAAAACCTCATACAGGCTAGTAGCTGCTTTCTGACCATGAGAACTACGATAATAAATGTAGTCATAACTCCTGCTTCAACAAAGGCCTTCCACCATCTTGCCAACATCTAATATGATAGAGATTAGTGTCCCCTGACTCATGCATTAGTCATGACAGGCCGTAGGCAGGCAAGAAATCTTCAGCTTCTGTTTGGCTGCCTGTGGCTC